AGGTCCAAGCTACACTGCAACTGTGTAGAAACTAATGAGAAAGGAAGATTTTTATAAAAGTCTTGTGAAACATTTAATGATCTCTGAAATAGTGCTGGCAGGCCTCAAAGGAGAAAGGCCTAGTTTAAAATTGAACTTTGCAGTTTACTACATGGCAGTGTACTGGAGCCCCAAGCACTATTTATTTTCAGCGACTATTTTTATCAGAAAGTCCCCATCTCCTGTAATGCTCTTCTGCTCTAAGTCTTTACCCCTCTCTTGCAGCTACCATGCAGTCAGTGGCACTTACTGAGCAGTGTGCTCCTAGGGCCCAAAATAACACATTAATACATTTTTCTTAACTTAATGGAACTGGGTTTTGCCTCAGACATAGTTAGCTCCATTCCTCACCTCCAGAGGTTATCCGCATTGAAACCAGAATGTGCCATTCTGGGAAGGCAAGGAAGGGCAGTGGCTTTTTGGAGTAGAGGGATGGTGAGGGTGAAAAATCCCCTGACTGTATCAGTAATATAGTCAGCTCTTTATTATATTCATATTCTCCCTTCTCATCTCCCTTGAAACTGCCTACAGTGGTCTGCAAGATATCTACAGTTTTTACAAAGCCACTCCCACATACAAGCAAGGAAGGACATTAAAAAAGTTAAAAAATAACAGAACCATCATGGTGCCACTGCAGAAGGTAGAGCCAGATATTTCAAATGGCCCAGTGATTCTACTCCTTGGAATAAAAGAAGGTGAGACATACTGGCCAAGAGAGCATCTAGTTTGGTAAAGTTCTACTGACCCTTTCCATGATGATAAAGTAAATGTAGCTGAAAACATAAACTGAACAACTTTAATACTACCACCTGCAATGGGGCTTTTTAAGTCTTTGAGTGAAAGTATTCACTAGTGAAAAGACTATAGGAACCTGAAGAGTGTCTGAAAAGTATTGCTGAACTTGGCATCACAAAATCAGTTCTTCTGGTAACTCAGAACAACAAAAATTTTAGCCAGCAAATCCCATACGGACTGCCAGTTCTTATTTCATGAGTTGGATCAATCTCACGTTGAAGGTAGTGAGATTAAAGAGTTTTTTCAGCTATAACCACTGCTGTTCAATGTAAACCCAACAGTTTGCAAAGCATATTTAAATTAAAAAAAAAAAAATCCATTGATCTTTTTTTAGTGTCTATTACTGTTGGCATGAATAATAAAAATCAGTACCTTCATATTTAGCAATACACAAAAGATATGTCTTTTCTCACCTAGCTAGCTGCTGCTGTGTCAGTCCACAGAGACACCACCATATCATTTCTTACACAACTATTGTGTTCTGTGAGTTATTGCAGTAAAACAAGAACATCCACATTACAGAAGACATTGTTGGCTCCTTTAATTTAATTTTTCCACAGTGCTTCTGCTAAGAAATTGATGTAAGACAACTGACTCAAATTTTCCCCACCTCTCCTCAAATGCACATTGAACACTTGACAAAGCCTACTTTTTTTATTTTCCTCTGCATGGCTCCATCAGAGAGGACCCTCTGTGCATTCAGAGCAGCACAATAAAGAATGATTTCCAAAGCATTAACTTGGAGCCATTGAGACTTGGATGTTTTTAAAATGATTCTTTTGTTTTCAAAGGATTCTAGACTACCCCAGCTACTCTAGAAGAGAGTCTTTTTCCCCTTTCTCAAAACATCCATTCCTTGAGCCATCCCTGGAGTGCATTGTTGGGGCTGATTCCTTAGTGCACCGAGTTCCATCAGTCAAAGCTCAGCAGATACAAATAATATCAGGATATGGATATAAATTAGTGCGACAGACCCTAAATAGTTTTGACAGGTTTAGTAAGTATATATAGCGACACAGAATGCTATTCCTGCTGTCAGACATCAATATGTAGACAGAAGATTGGGGGCACCATGGAAACTCAACGACATAAGAGTGGTATTGATTGGATAGAAAACGAGACTGCAGTTTAAGCTTAAGGCTGCCAGAGATGCCAAGAATGGAGAATGACCTCCAGCAGTGAATTTTCAGCATAAGCTCCCTGTGAACAAGCCAGTCCAAGAAGGATAAATCAGGGACAAGCTCACCAGGGATATGGCTCAACTGAGTTTCAGCTACCCTAAGCAGATGAGAATCACTCTATGTGTGCACGCGTTACAGTGACCTAGTTCGTTCAAAGACTGCATTTTGAATGGTTTATTATAGAGGCTTGAAACAAAGAGATTTCCTCAATTAAAGTCCTGAAATGCATCCTCTAAATGAAAATGCTTTTGATACACTGATCAGCAAGAGGTTGTAAATATCGAAGCAAAGCGGACATTGTTAAAGACCAATTCCCACAGAAAACGCCACGGTTGGGAATGTAGGTAATGAGGGGGTCTGAACAGAGCAGGAGCAATGAGCCATGCCAGCTCCATCCCTAATGTTCTAGTGTTACACTACAACACTTGTTACACTATAACACTAGATAAATTGTATCTTTCCTGACCAAAAAAAAAAAGAAAAAAAAACACAAAAAACAAAAAACCCAAACGGAAACCAACAAAACAAAACAAAAAAATCCAACCAAAGAAATCCCCCCTCCCCCCCCCAAAAAAAAAACCCAACAAAAAAAAAAAAAAAAAAAGATTACATTTTTAGAGCTCCTGTAAAGCATTATTTTTAACTACTATCTCAACACTCAGAGAGAACCTTTCCCAGAACAATAAAGAAGAAATAGAGGACATGTCAGGGAAGTACCTCGCTGGAGCCATGACTGCTGGAAGTCCACTAAGTAATAATATTCACATTTGTGGCAGAAAATAATCTACACAAAACATCCATCAGTACAGCTGTGTCAGGAATAAGATAAGCCTCCAAAGTGTCCCCAGTGTCAGTATAGGCGTAGAACACAGGCATATGGTACTGGGATAGCAGGGCTGTGTTTTGTAATACTATAGCAAGACAAACCTTCTGCTGGCAAGGGTGTATCAACCACAGGCTGCACCTCAAATAACTCGGGATAGACATCTGGATAACTGCAAAAAGTCTGTTTTTCTTAGGCCACTTCTACACTATAAACAAAGGTTTACCATTTGAAAAGAAAAAAAAAAAAAAATGTTTCTGGCTTCTCTTTTTTCCCACCCAAGAGCTGGCTCAGGAGCTTGCTAAAGTCAGTAAGTTTCTGTCCTTCAATTTCACACAAAGCTTCATGTGTAATAAGTCACTAAAGAGTTTAGCTTAGCCTGAAGACAGGAGGATATTAAACATCTGCTTTTCTTCTCTTTAGGAAAAGTCACTAAATTATGCAGCAGGTTTTTTTGTTGCTGCTTTTTTTGGGTTGGTTTGGGGGTTTGGGGTTTTTTTTTAGTCCAATGAAGTACCCTGTCCATGCACTTCCAAATTTTAATTTCTACAGAAAATTATTAAATTCTGTCACAAATACATAGGTTCTTTTTTTCCCTTTGAACCATTTCTCATGATCAGGAGTTCAGACTTTTTTTTTTTTTTTTTTTTTTTTAATTCCTTTGCAAGGAGGAAAGTGAAATAAACAAAACATAACAAACACACAGAAACATTAAATTTGTTTCGTAATCAGCTCAAGGCCACTGTGCAGACTAGGTAAAAAATAATTATTTCTCCATAAAAACTTTCCTTTCCTATTCTCTTTCTCTCCCCTTCTTCTCCCTAGTACAGTTAGTTACATACTCAGTCTACTATTGCTTGCTAAAAGAGTTGAGCTTTGCTCAAAAAGCTCAAAAAATATCAATACCCAAAGGCAAAACAAGGAAAGGGCAGAGAACTCAAGACTTGGTGGCCACAGGTAAAGCTTTTCTCTATGGTAATACAAGTAATGTAAAGCATAGGATCTAATTAAAATACCTACCACTATCCATAGATGCAGGGCTATCTCACAAAGAAAGATTTAACACCTTGCAAACACAGTGTTCTCAAGAACCAACTAGTCTCTAAGATTTACACTCTAGAAGCCAAATTCCATGTGTATCTCCAAGCTAAAGCACAGCAGACATTCACCAAAAGCCACTTGCAGTGGGGAAAAGAAAGATGTACGAGAGCCAGCAGGAAGATGTAAAAGGAGCAGATAAGCTCTCAAAGGACGAAGACTACATTTCCCCTATGTAAAGTTCTACTTTTAAAAAGGAGGGAATGAAGGAGGGTAAGGAGCTAGAAGCACCAGTGTTGGAGACCACTGTAGATTTGCAGAATAACATATATGCTCAACAAAGAGGCAACTGTGTTTTCACCATTGTTAACTCAGACTTTCGCCCAACCCATCCCTCTGGAGGAAGCAGAAGACACAAACTAACGACGGCACTTTGAAATAGATCTATCAGCACTTGCTAGATTCAGTTGCTCCACCAGAAGTAAATAGGGATAAGAAGGCAAAGTCCCAAGAAAAATATCAGTTGCAGTGCTCGATCTGAAGGTACAATTTAAACTCATTATCCCGAGTCTCAGCCGGGACATTCCCGGCACACGGTAACTGGGACCCCCACGGGGTTTGCCGCTCCAGGGTCACTCTACTGACCTTTTGTCTTTTCTAAACGGACCCGTCCGACGACTCCTGCCTCCCTTTCCCTCTGGGTCACGTCACCCACCGCCACCTCTCTCCCTCTCGCCCTGCCTTGGCATTTAAGCGCTCCCACGTACTGACCCGCTGCCGCCTCCCCACCACGGCACAGCGCGGTCCCGTGCCTGGGGTGCTCCCGGACACCTCCAGACCTCCCACCTCGGCTGCCCCTCGGGCAGATGCCTCCGGGGTACCAGGTGCCCCCCACCACCCCGCTGGGTCCAGGCTCCCACCCAGCCCCACCGCCCCTCTGTCCGGTCACCCTCTGCGGATCCCCGCTGGAGTAAATGCCCTGGAGCCAAGACAGGGAAGGGGAAAATGCTTCCTACACTGCCCCCGGGGGAGTGAGCGCTATCAGACCCCGGGAGATCTTCTGGGGGTAACATCCCTCGGGCAGATCCCAGGAGTCCCCGCTGCCGCAGCCGCCTCGGACTTACTTCGGGCGTCAAAAAGCTCCTCTCCCGCAGCTGAAAGGGGCGAGCAGCGACAGTCCCCGGTGACCAGCGGCTGGTGCGGCCCCCGCGCGTCCCTTCGCTTCCCCAAGGAGGGGTTCACCGGCTGCCGCTCCTCTCCACCCGCGCCCCGTCTCTCTCTCCCGGCGGAGGTTTCTCGCCGAGATTTTTATACTGGAGGCAGGGAACCTGATCCGCTCTTTGACTCGGCGGAGCCCGGGCTGCGGCGAGGCGGCGAGAGGAGGGAGGCAGGCGGGTGCCGGGGCAGAGCGAGCGGCCGCGCTGCCCCCTCGTGTGATGCGGAGGGGGCGCGCCCGCCGGGCGGGTCACCCGCGGGGCAGCCTCGCCCCCGCCGGCGGGGCTGGGCGGGTGCAGGGGTGGGCAGGGGGAGGGACGGGGCCGCTCCACTCCGCTCTACCGGGGCTCGGCGGGAGCTCCCCCCGCTCCCCCCGCCGGGGGAGCGCACCGGGGGACAGCCCGGCGGGGCGGCGCAGCGCGGCAGCGGGGCTGGCCAGAGAGCCCCTGCCGGGATCGTCAGCTTTCCCTCCTCTTCCTCGCGGTACCCAGCGAGAGGGGGAGCCGAGGGCTGGGAGGTGCACCTCATGGTACCCCACCCTCGGCCGGTGCTGGGGCTCGTCGGGGCTTCAGCTGCTTTTGCAGGTACAAACATCCAAAGCAGCTTTTGCCCGGATCGTCTTTGCCTGTCAGAGTTTGGGGAGCTTTAACTTTAGCCTCGCTGACTTCGAGCTTACCATTTTGACCGGGGCGGTGTTGGATTGGAAATGCTGTTGGGGAATGCAAAACAAGTAAGAAAAAAACAACCAAAAGAAACAAAAGCAAACAAAAAAAACCAAACAAAACCCCAAACAAAATCAAAAAAAAAAAAAAAAAACACCAATAATAATAATTAAAAAAAAATATTCACCAAACTGAGCCCCCACCCCTAGGTTTTAATTTCAACGTGACCTGAAAGCGGTATGAGAACAACCTTTGTCATGGCATTTCAACACTTCTGGTTGTAGCAGTTGCTGGAGTTGTATCAAGGCTTTCATTTAGGAGTAGACTTTTCCAACTTTAAGGTTCATTACATCCATTGAATAAGAGTGTTCCCCAATCCACAGCCTAATTTAAAACTAAGTGGACTTGTTCCAAACTCCAGGCAATTTCTGTGTAATTCCCTTTCCCCAGAGCAAGTCTCTGCCTTCACTTGAAAGACTGGGTCCATTCACTGCTTAAGTCTCAGCTGGGTTTGCAGCTTGCAGCTCCTGCTCCAGGTTTGCACAGAAATCCAGTTCAGATTCCTCTCCTGTTTCCGGAGGAATGAGCTAAAAAAGTAATTTGTCTGGCACCATACACATTGCATCATCTAACACCTACCATCTGTGACAATGAAAAGCACTGTACAGCTAGTCCCAGCGCGGGCAATTGCACTCACCTGGAGTCCTTCTTAGTAAAGTAAACTACTCCATTCTATCCACACCTTGGCATCTTCTTTTCATCACAGAGTTATGTGTTCAGTCCTGGCATGGCTGTTCAGGATTTGCACCACCAGCAGGTTTAATGACAGTGATGTAATTTAAAAAAACAATTTTGATTTGCAGTGTAAAGTGATGTCTTGAGATGGAGAGAATATTCTTTCTAGCAGCTGGATAAGTGGAAATGAGTACTCAGTAGTATTCATGTTTCAGACCATGCAAGACTGAATGAAAGCCAGTTTGCACCTTTCTGAGGGCTTCTCAGTGAAATCCTGACATCATAGTGCTAAGCATGACAAACATCTAAAGAAAGAAACTTTCCATCAAAAAACACTTGGTAGTTGTTGACACTTTTCAGACCCAGAAATTCTTCATACAACCACAATAGCACATTTCAGGTGATCAATCCTGTCTTAGTAACAAAATAGGAAAAAGGACAAGGGCTGTAAGTTCACCTTGATTGAAACCAAAAAAGATTTCATCAAAGTAGATCACGAGATTTCTTACTTTCCTTACAGAAATCTGAGTCTTAGCAAAAACACTGGAAACAACATTTTCATAAAACAGTGGAAGCAAGGATGTGCATGATGTTAAAATCCTCATTTTGGCCACTCAATTTTAGAGGCAATGCCAACAGATAATCTTTGACCAAATTTAGCCATAGGTTTTCTCCATATCCAGTTTTTTATAGCTCAGAAATTATTCTCTTGAAACTGAGTTTACATGCACAGAAACTAGTTTTGTGTGATACAACTTGGGTTTTGGCTCAGAATCTCCAAAATAAAACTGCAGACAAGGTTAGCAGAGCTTCTCAAAGGATATATTATGGTCTGGACTATGACTGAAAAAGAGAGTACTTTGGTTTTTGATTGTCAAAAAGTAAATGTGTTTTAATGTACATATTATTTGTCTCAAAGGCACCTTGAGGCTTAATTGAGATTTCCTTTCCAATAAGCACTGTAAAATACAGAAAAATATTCTTTTCCCCAAATTGCCCACTGTGTTGGATACCTTTGATATTAATGGAGTATAACACCTAAATTTCTTGACTGAAGTTTTGCTATTGAGATACTCATAAAGACACAGTAGTTGAGACAGTTAGTGAACATAGCAATCTTGACTACCAATATAACTTATTTACCAATGTAACTTCTTTTGCCAATAAAAAGTCATCATATGCTAATCACAGCCTTAAAGGTGTCTATGGTGCTGGCTCCTAGTGGGAAAGACCAGGACAGTGGAAAAAAGGGATGGATGTAAGATAAGCTATGACCATTTACTTCTGCAGGGATATTTTTATTATTAAAAGAATGGTAAAGCTGCAGAATCTTATCTCCAGATCTTCTCTGCTGTTTTGTCTCTCTTGACTTCTCCCCCCCCCACCCCCAGGCCCCCTGACAATTACGTGTTTGCTACATGTTCTCTGGAACTAGCCAACATATCCAGTGACATATAGAAAAAGCCTTATTGAAAAAATACTTTTTGACTACTACTTTTCTATTCGGAACACAAAGGTAACATAGAAAGGAGAATTTGCTTGCAGATTGTCAGGGATACTTACCTTTAAACTCCTTGACGTTTATTTACAGCTGCTGGTTCAACCCTGATCAAAAAAAACAGAGGTGAGGAATGGACTGGAAGCTGTAGAAGTCCAGTTTCTGTCTTCACGTGTGTTCTTTGCCACCCAAAGCAAAAACTGGAAACCTAAATGAGAAAGACAGGGCTGAACTATCTCTTAAAAAGGAGAATTGAAGGTTAGAGCCATAAGAAGATATAAGAGGACTTTTGATTGATGCCACGTGCAAATGGTCTCATAAACAACCCAAAAGTATTAGATCCTAATTAGAATCCCCATTCAATCAGTAAAAGTTTAAGACCATTTTGGGGAAAGGAGCTCTCAGCTTTAGATACAATTTTTGCCAAAATGCAGAAAGCCCACATAATAAATTCCCTTTCTATTAGGTGGATTTTTTTTCCTTTGAAAAAGTGTAAAAACCGAATTTTCTCTTTGAAGATGGGCCTTTTTGTAACTGTTAGGTAATCACTTCACCAGCCACCTGAAGGAGATTACTTAGAGCTTATTACAGGAGTATTTCCAAAGATGCCTTCAAAAAATTTTGACTCTAAAGCTCAGAAAGTCGGAGGACAAGGCTTTATGACATTTTCTTGCAAGAAGAGCTAGACACTGTTTTTGGTCCCACTGCTGAGTATAATGAGGCTGTACTTTTCAAAAAGTAAACACTCCTTGCACATCAGTTAGGCCAGCTGGAGCTGAGCTTTCTTTATTTGTTTGTTACACTGTAAATATCAATTTCTTTCCCTGCCTTTCCTCTCCATCAGCAACAGCAGCTCTAGGAAAATGTAACATGATTCCAGGAAAGCAAAGAAGAGAACTGGACAATAGTTTAAAGGTGTTTTCACCTTTTGCTCCATTGTTGTTCCTGAGCTATTGAGCTGCCAAACCCTGGCAGCTGAGTGCCCTGCATACCCACGCCTGCGCTAAGATCAGATTTCCATTAGTGATACTGAATTATTTAGTGAATGCTTTGAAGATTGAAATCAACTACTTCTGAGCTGTGTACCTTCTCACTCCATCTTTCATTTCAAGTCTGCACAATATCATCACAGAGACTATCAATCTTATAATTAGAATAAAAAATCTGTGCAGTTCCAAAATAATAATTCGTACCTCACTCTCTAGTATAAAAAAAAAAAAAAATCATCACATTTTCTAGATGCACGTGTGCACGTGGAAGGCAGCAAACAGAGACCATGAACCCAGAAGAGTTATTCATTCAAGCACATATGCTAAAAACTTAAGATATTTGAAAACAAAGTCAGTGTCCCAGAACTCAAGCTTCAATCACCAAACCACGAATACATATTGTAACTTCACACATTTGACTGACTCTATTTTCTACAAGGGGATTAAAGCTCTTCTGCTAAAAATTATTCATGTGCATACATCTGCATGTTGCAGTTGGAAATCCACAAATATAATGTGACACAGCAGGCTTTTCCAGATCCCCGGCATTGAAAAGACAGCTCGTCATATGTTGGCTTCTCTCGCTATTTTCTTCTTTTGTGCTGGCAATCCTGAGAATGGAAGTCCAACATATCCAGGATTTGAAGTCTATTACATTAAAATAAAATAGCTATGATAAAAAATTTGCTGCTTTGAGTACATTATCACTTTTTTTCCTATATAAACACATTCATTTTACTCTAGTTTTACAGTTTAGGGAGAGGTATAACTAAAAACAAAATGGCACTTATTATGAAGGGCTGAGCAGTAGCTACTATTTCTGTTCTATTTTCTGGGGTTTTGTCACAATGCATTTCTGTGGAAAAAATCAAAGCAAAATGCAGAAACAAAATGTTCTTGCATTGAAAAAGAATCAATAAAATTGACTTGTTTGTTTGTTTGTTTCAAACTTATGGCAGAAAATTACTGAAAAAATAGAATGCAAATTTCCTTTTCAATTTTTCTCAGGAAGAACATGATTTGCTAATACCTATTTTTTGAAAGGCACTACACATGCATACCTAACTACTCTATAAAAGGACTGGCTCTAGAGGTAGAGAAGATAGTACTTATAATCCCACTGAATCAGTCCTTGATACTTCATTAAGACAATCAGCCAGTATCAGACATAGCACTAAATGGCTTTCCCCTAGGCACTGAACTGAAATGGTCAATTTTACTCTCAGTGGCAAGCCAGTGATAACAAATTAGAGGCGCTAACTATATAGTGGGCAAGTGATTAGAAAATTAAAAGCATTCTGATCCTTTGCCTATGAG